GAAGGCTTATGGAGCCTCGCAACGCAATCGACTAATTAACTTGTAGGAACTCAAAAAAGCAGCATGATGTCATTCGAATGGTCCAACTCGAAGCTTATGGAACGGAGCTAGAATGGCTCGAAAAAGCGAATGCAGACACAGTAGCTTTTAAGCCGGATACAGCGAAGCGCTTTATTCTGTCTTCATCCAATACTACGAGATGGCTTACTCTGTGTTGGTGGCCGGTTGGCATACTTAGAGTACGACGCTGAACTCAAGTTCGCGGTCATAATGTTGTCCAAACACGCCGTTACCGAACTGTTGACCCGAGTTTATTATTTGACGGTGGACCACTCAGGAGTTTCTCAAGTTCTGGCGAGCTTATGTTGTAAATATTGGGTCGTTCACGAGATGTCAGCAGTGAAACAGCTGATAGGAACTTGAGAGGCATGTAAAAAGTGGCTCGCTACTGCTGGTCAACTGCTAATGGCGCCATTGTCGGGTGGAACGTGGATGGCACCCGTGTAATTATGTCGGCGTGAATTAAATTGGACCATTTATTGTTAAACACGGGCGGAAGCAGGAGAAACGATATGGTGCCTGTTTACCTGTCTATAAGCGCGAGCCGTGCATATTGAGCTGTACCACGCTTTAAATACTGACTCGTTCATTACGGCTCTGATGCGATTTGTTTCCCGGTCGAAATATTCAGTGACAATGGGAGCAACATAGTGGGCGTCGCATATGAGTTGCGTAATGGTGTGAAACGCTGGTCCCAAGCAAGGATCAAAGATAGACTCCTTATTAAGAGGGCGCAATGGCACTACAACCTACCAATGTCTAGCCACAGATGGGGATTTGGGATGGTATAACCCGGTCTGTTAGACGGATACTATTATCGGTCGCTAGGCAACAGACGTTGAATGGTACTCTCTTCCATGAAACGGACCGAATCATCAAGAATAGACTACTAGTACCATTCAGTTCAGAACCAAACGACCGTATGGCACCCACCCCTAACGATTTGCTGATACTGCGACCTAACGCATCGTATTTCGTAACGGTCTCTTTAACCGAAGAATATAGACGCTGTTGGCAGCAAGTCAATTATCTAGCGGCGTTGTTTTGAAAAAGGTGGGTCGGAGAGTACGTGCCATCGCTGCACTCTAGACAAAAGTGGCTGTATCGGGGTCGGAACTTCAGACTCGGTGGGGTGGTTTTGAGTTGTTCAGAAACAAGTTCACGGGAAACATGGACGAAGGGGATCATTGATCACTGCATAAGTTCTGAAGACGGGCTTGTCAAGGTTGCAGTAGTTAGAATAAAAATGGGTAAATTAGGAGAGATGAGCAAAAACTGTGTTTACTGGAAGGAAGCGACACGAGTAGGGATGTAATCACGGCTGAAGGCTCTCCACAGGTAGGAGGCAGGTCTTCGGGTCGGCCACTCGGAGGACCACTGTGAGTCCAACAGCCAGTGGCAGGTCTCAAGCGTACCGTTGTAAGTCTTTGACCTCCTAGTGTGGATGGAGCTGGTATAAGGCGGTCCAGAGCAGAAACCTTTAACAGCCTTGTTGAAAATATAATGTATCAGCTTCGTTACCGCGCAAATACCACCAGTCGCGCGCGAGCTGGGTATGCCGCGACGAAGTCCACATCTACGCGGATTCGAACCGGTGACCTAATGGATGCAAACCAGATGCGCAGGCTCTACGGCCAGCGACCGCATGGGATTTTGGTAGGCAGTGTGGAACGAAATTGTGACCATCCAAGTCTCACTCCTGTCAAATACTTACTTCTTCTTCGAGCAGCCGCATTGTCCGGCATGGATTATTTGTGTGGTTACCAAGCTGCCCATTTTCTGTTACGCTACCTGCTACGGCGCCTAGGCTGCGTGAGGCAGTGTCCGATTTCCAGTTCATCCAGATTCTACCTCGTTTTCACTACTATACACAAGTCTCTCTATGTTTAGCCTTATTGAGAAGGCACTGTTTCCTCTGAATTGAGCGAGTTGTGTGACTCCCACAATATGTAAAGCTAAGTACACCAGACCTTGCCACAGCACGCTTTCATTTGCGGACGCATACAATTGGCTCATGTGGACGCTCACCACAAACCCAGTGTCTCGCACGTTGATTCCATCGTTTCATTCGCACGCCTGAACTCACGGGTCGCTCATGGATCTGAGCGGAAATTGCTGGTATACATTTGGGTTTGGAAATCTTTAAGTTAATGGCTATTTTGATAACATGAATTTGTACAAATACCATCGTTATTGCACGTCCAGACTTGGTTTATGTGGAATATTACGGTGGGATACGCGTAGCGTAAGCTTCTAAAGTTTTGTGGCGTTACAACAGCTACTGAGGTAAGTAAACCGATCCACTACTTCCAGTGGCTGCTCGCTGAAAGATAAAGCTAGGATATCGGCCAAGTCCAACAGCAGTACGTTGCAATTTGAAAGGCAAAGCACATGCCGAAGTATGCAGCGCTACGTGTCAGTCTATGCAGAGATGCTGACATAACCACTGTGTCAGATCCAAGGAGGGCTCTGACGTCCGCATATCCAAGGTTTGTCAGTCCGTCATCCGGCAGAACTTCCACTCCGGAGGAGTCTGAAAAAACAGTCATTCATTGTTTTTACGATCAGGAAGTTGAAGAGAGGAGACATAGCAGAATCCCGGCTAACCCCATTAGCCGTGGGGAACTCGGAAGATTGCTTCGCATGGAGCCTTATCCGACCCCCAGAAGCCACGGTAGACTTCAAAATGGTAAGCAATTTATCTGGCACGCCTCTCACTGATAGGCAGTGTCACAAGCTGACTTGATTGACAGAGATGAACGCGGTTCTCAGTTCAAGGAAAACCACCACAGCCGATCGTCTGTATGTGTGTTTCTGCTTTAACACTTGGGGAAGAGGAAATATGTGATCGATGCAAACGCAACCAGGGCGGAAAGAAGCCTGGATTTCAGTGATTCGATTCTCACGGAGGCTAGTGAGTCGTCAAAGAATGATACCCATGATAAGTTTGGGGGCAACTAAAAAAGCGCTGTTGCCTCTATGATTTTCGTACAAAGTACGCCGGATGTTATTGAAGATGGGCACGACGGTAGGTAATCGCTAATCTGAAGGCATCATTTTAGGGTTCCAAAGCATGTTAAATAGAGAGGCAAGTTCGATCAACAAACAGTCACCACCACCTTCCAGCAAAGAAGGTGGAAGGTCATCGGGTCCAGAAACCTGATTTCGCTCCAACACATCGAGCACGTGTCAAATTTCTTCCAGTGGCAAGTGTGATATCAACATCCCGCATTGGTTCGAATGATTCAGCAAGCGGGTGTCGCAGCAGCCCCGTTGAACTGCTCTTTAAAGTGTTACATCCAATGAGCCAGACGACGAGGCTGAGAATGGACCAGACACCTTTTCAACTACTGACTCACTAACTGATGGCTTTCTCGGACCTGTGTTCCGAACGACCTGGAATAGCATTAAGCTGCTCCCAATACCACTGGCTTTCTCAATCTCGTGGACCACTGCCATTCACCAATGTTCGTGGTCGCTTGAAATAAAAGCGAAAAGTGGTAGCTCATGTTGTTATGGCAGTCGGACTGTTCGCTGAGCTTGGAAAGGTTGTTGCAAACGTTTCGGCACCAACCGAGGTGACATAATCAGTGCGCATTGATGACGTCACCTCGATTGGTTGCGCAACGTTTGCAACAAACTTGGCAAGCTCAGCGAACACTTCAACTTTTCGCGGTCATATCGAAGCTTCTTGTCAGTCGTCATTTCAAGGAGTTACGGACACACAGCTGTTTCAGCGCTTCGAGCAAATTGATCCATGTAACAAAACTCGAATAACAGTTAAAACGTCTCACGTTGAGCGCAAAGAAAGTGGAACACTTAAAACGATCCCAGTCAGAGTTCGGCTCAATAACCTCATTCCTCACTGACAACTGGTGGACCAGCTCATTATAATGTGCAGAGTGCAGAGTGCGAGTTCAAGTTACAGGTAAGGAAGTTTGAAAAGAGACGCTTCTTCAAAGCAGGAAGTGTGAGTGCCAGGCGTGTGTGCATTAGAGCAAGATCGGATTCCAGGCACGTTCTCCAAATGGGCGCCATCTATACCTGACGGTAATATGGTCAACTTGGCTCCAAGTCATTGAGGAATTCGTTGGGCCCCAGGCGAGGCGGAGTGAATGTTTGTGTTGGAAAGCAGTACTGTTAGTACAGTCCAATCTGTCTAAGGCGACCACTCAAGGGGCCAACAAAAAATGGTCACCTTGGACAGCTGGTCGTCGCGAACAGGTTAATGCATAGGGGGCATTACTCATAGGAAAAATTGGGGATGGTTTTGGCTGGTCGCCATAGACAGATGATCGCCATAGCAGATTGGACTGTATAAAGATAGTTGCAGAAATCGATCAAGGCCGTAACAGCGTGATGATGACTTTCACAGTAGGATTTGCAATTCTGACAGGCACTGTCGATCGATGGATTGAATAAACTCGAAGTACATACTTGGGTTACTTAGGCGTGTACTTCGAATACCTAACCAGTTTTTGTACCGCCGAGCGTCTTTTACGCGTGCTGTTGTGGAAAAGTGACAGAAAGATGGCCGATGAATAATCTGGGCTTAGAGGAACAAGTGTTGACATTAAAGTTGAGCGAAGAAGGACGTTCGCGGCTGCCGGGTTGAGGACATCACTACCGTCATCATCATCATTAATACGCGTTAGCATAGGAGGAGAAACGCACTTTAGTTAAAACAAAAGGAAAGGAAAAACACTATGTATATACATATATAAATTTGGCGCGTTCGGAGTCGAATGAACTTGGGGGCTGCGAATGACGGAATTCAACACAAGGAGAACCAGAGTATTTTTGGGCAATAAAAGCAAAAATACGAGGATCTCGTAGTGCAAACAGAGTTGATTCCGCCGAAGCCACGCGATATCATCAAAGACAGCACAACGAAGGTGATACAAATTGACCTCAACTGATAATGTCAATAACGAACTCACTCAAATGAACAGATTTGACGTGATTTCGCATAATCCAATTGGAAGCAAACGATCTGCCACAATGTTCACATACACGAAGTCGTTGTTCTGGAGAAGGAAACCAAAAGTGGTTAGTTGACGATGAACCACGCAGGAAAAACTGCCACAGAATTGTGAACGAATGGAGGTACCCAGAAATGACGTACTGAAAACATTCGCCATCAGGATTCAAAGAGGCTCATCATCTATGAATCAATACATGTGATTCAGTTATGTTCATGATAGGTGATAGGAACAGTAATCCTTATTGTCGCTGGTTCTTCCCTCAAGTGTACTTAGTAACCCAATGGAACTGCTTCATAGAAAATGACGTCATACAATAGAACACGTGAGACTAAGAGTTGATTTACACAAAATAATCTCTATCCGATGGATCAAACGAAGTCATTCCCAATTTCACTAACAGATCTGGAAGATCATGGTAAAAGAGCAAATACTTATCCCTTGAAAAAAGCCCAGAAAATCGCATCACGTTCTCGGAAGAAAAGTTTGCTGTGTAATCAGGCGAATTTATTCACGGAGTCTGTAGACTAATTAATCAGCTTTTCTCCTAGATAGCACCGAATAACGCAGTCATGCAATTCTTGTTGACTGATAGAAGTTCAGTACTGATTGTAGAGTCTTCATACCTTGAAGCCGATTCATGTAACAGGACACTATCTTCCTGCTTATTGGCTTCATGATCTGATGGGGCAAAACATTTAAGTGTGGAAATCGGAAGCTCTTCAGCGTGTGAGATGGACTGGATTGCAGATCAAATACTGGGACAACGTACATCGATTCTTGTTGCAAATAATAATGCGATAACCATGTAAAAAAAGCAGTCTGTTATGTGGCACTTAAATTCTCGCCAAACGATGAGAACTACAATGGCAGATCTTTGCGTCTGTTTTCTGTCCAGTCACGAAGAGCTTCCTCAAAGTAATGGGACATATTGTGAGTTGTCCATTTCTGTTTAGGTCACCAAAAGATAGTTTAAAGTATGATTTATAGGCAGATTGTAATAACGAAGTGATATTCCTCCTCTGATCAATCGCATATACAACAAAAATGCATCAAATTCAGTGAGACACTTAGGTATACTTAAGTGAGTCAAGGTCATGTCTGCAACAAAAGCGGACTGGTGCATACTTTTTTATTTACGTACAACATTAAAATGCATGAAAACTGGTGCAGGCAGAAAACCGTTCAGGTTAAAACTATGCATCAAAAGTGCAACAAGGGTATTCCTAAATAGCCCTTGTAGCGGAAAACTGCATATTGTTAATTAGACATAAATAAAATAAGAAATAGAGCTCAATCAAGCATGGAAAATTGTACTCACTCAAGTGGATAGAGGCTAGGTGGGTCTGAAGGTCATTATTATGGGAGAAAGCTCTCTTACAATACCCACAGACATGGGCACGTTGATCTAAAATAGGAAACAAAACGACATCAGATATGCAGAATATGAAAAAGGTAAATTAAAATGGGGTGTAATTAATTCATTAACTAAATAAAAGCAGACTTATGTCTACATTGGTGATAAATTCAACAGAACGCAAAAATAGGAGGCAAACTGAGGACTAACAGTGGAAGCCAACCACAATGTCATCAACAGCAATAGAGTAGCCATTCGAAATGATGATTCGTTCTGCTACAACCAAAACGACCTGCAGAACAAAGACAGGTGCACTTACCGGAAAACCTTAATACCCTGACCAAAGATTCAGGATCAAGGCGCCTACGCCGTGTTAACAACATGCTATCATAAACACCTAGCCGTCGTGCAAAGATAAGGCTGAATCAGCGATACAGTTTCCTTGTGGCTTTCAGTTACCCGTGTCAAAATCAGCCATTACTCCGCAGATAACTCAGAACCAAAGAGAAATTTAGTAGGCAGTCTGACCATGAGACAACAGCAGATGTGCCACTGGTGTCGAATGCGGGACATATCCTGTAAAGTCTCGAGCCAAGCGTAAGGCAAGCCTGAAAGAAGAGAGAGAACGGCAGCACCAAGTTTGGTCGTCAGTGACTTCATTTCTCGCTGCTAAGTCAACCTTTGTCCACCTCGAGCCTTGAGCCACCCAATATCTAGCAGACTAAAAAGTCCCTTCTCGGTAAGCGGCGGCCGGGAATACGTAGTAGCTGCCCAAGTCAACGCAACTTATTCAGAGCTATTTGTTATTTTAAGGGACTAGTCCGATTAGCACTGCCGAGCACTTGCCTACGCACATAATCGTTGCGGACCGCTGGGGCCATCCGACGCCAGCAATGCTTCGTAGACAACGGCGACCAAAGACTTAAAGTCGGCTCAGATCAAGGGACCAAATCTCACTCTCATACAGTAGGACGGCTCTCACTGTGTCCTTGTGAACACGGAATTTCAGGTCGAGGAAAACCCCTTTCTGACGTCAGAGATGTCGTTTTAGCTTTTGCGATTTGTGAACAGACTTTAGTGGCTACGAGCCCATCTTTGCTGATGAAGCTGGCAAGGTAACTGAATTGATCAACCACCTCCAGTTCCTCGCTATCAAGGGCCAATGTGACACCAAGCGGCTGGTGGTTCTGCAACAACACTCTGAATAATGGGACCAAGTTAAGAGAGATTGCAGTTGACTGGGCCACACTGTCATGGTTAACTAGTTTTTCGCCGAGCAATTTCAGACAAGACCTCTAAAAGCCGATGTTACTAGTCCCGCGACGCATATGCAAGAAAAAGACAGCTGTAAGCCCGACGAGATCTCTCTCCACAAGCACCGGTGATTATTGTTTTAAGGTCTCCAATGCGATCCATTCAATAATAACAGCGTTATCGTTGCTTGTCACACACCACCTTCGACTAACAGGCTGATATCCTGCTGTTCTCACAGAATTATAAAAGCCACAATGTTTTCGATGACACTTGAAGCACGTGTGTATATTGATCCAGTGCTGAACCGCATAATCCGGGATATGATCACCAAAGGTGATACAACTACGATCGTGTCGTTCAGCTATGCGAGAGTCCAAACGAAGTCTGGACGGTGATCGCAATGCACTGTAAATAAACCAGAAGACTATTTATGTTGCATACAAATTCGACGTACTATCCAAAGTGGTAGATTTCCACTGTCCATTTTCCGGTGCCACCAACTAGTGAGTGTCCATGTGATCGGCTTCTGATAAACGCGCCTTGTTCGTAGTGAGGTTGAGCCTGGTTAATCCTAAGTCGCGCATATTATGCACCGCATATCTGACTTATGAAACCGTGATCACAACGCGATGACTGCATTAGACTCGTTGCTAGTCGCTTCACCGTTCATTGGCACCGCTCAGGAAACTAGTCACTGCCACTGCACGCCGTGTATGTTATTTGGCATGGCGCGTGGTATTCGTTCACCGTTGTTCGAGCCAATCCGATAAGCCCTCGGCTGCTACCATGCTCCTGTTCGTTGGTGACACGCCGAGTTGATTACACCATACCCCATGCGATAATTATCAACTCGCTAGAGTTCCCGCACAATATGCCGAGTGGTCCGCATGCCTGGTTTGCAATCCTAAGGTCACTGGTTCGAATCCGAGGAGGGGTGGGCGTCCTCGCGGTATACTCAGCCTGCGCGCGACTGGTGGTGGTCGCACAGCAGCGAAGCGCCATTACGGCGTACGGCTGACACACAATCATATTTATTATTTCCCCGCCCAATATTTCCACGTTCAAGATACCAGTTATCATCACAATAAGTAAATCTATAGATCAGCTTCAGTTGTAGATCTGTGACACCTAGAATCTGTGACGTTTCGGCCCGGTACCGCGAGGGAAGATGTGAAGCACAAACCGAAGTGTTAGCTAACATGCGGAAGCCTATACGGTTTCCTGCCGTCGATAGCAGTACATGACTCCCCAGGTGTATTACGACTAACGTACGCAGTGGACATGGAAGCCGTCAGGATTTCCACCGGAGGCATGTCGCAACAGGAGAGCTAAGAAAAAATTTCTTTTCGATAAATCTCATCGGGCAATTACAATTATGAGATTCGTCATCATTAGAATAGAAGCCATTACTAGCGATGAGGCGATCTGCCGTCTACGCCGCGACCGCAGGAATGGTGGCAATCACCACAACCAATAGGCCTGAGGTCAGCTGACGAGGCTAGGGCCACGTTAGGGTTAAACTTTACAAAATACACGCAGTTTACACAGTTCCGTGGTCAGTAGGCACTTCCTGAATCCTTACGGGTAGTGGTTTGATGCCACACACTACGTTGAAAACCGTTGCAAAGTCATCTCTTTTCGGCAAATCACATCAAGCAAATACGATTACAAAGTTGGCTGACACAAGTACAAGCTGATGATAGCTGAAGTGAAAGAGACTGAACTGGTTCACGTTATTCGAACGGAAGTCAGCTTGATCGAATCAGTTGGTGGGAATCTGATAGCTCGCTGACTTCTTCATGAAACATGGCTCAGTTGAGAAATGAAAACACACTCGGTCAGCATCAGTATCCCATGCGGACGGATTTTCGTTACGGCCGGGGCAAAGTGATAGATTGCAACAGCATCCCTTGCTTACAAAGCTCTTGCTGCGATGTAATAATCGCTTCGGCTATCTTTAGAAGGCGTTTCCTAATCCGCTTTGAGTATTGCTTTGGCACGGTGTAAAAAATCCGGAAAGCGTCCTTGGTCGGATGTTCGAGTCCACTTCGAACCAGGTGTTCAAGGATTGAACTCCTGATACTTCTAACAAGCCCTTTCCGCAGAGACCCGGGGCAGTGCTCAGCTATCCTTGTGGACAGAGACCTGGTCCTTTGTCCGAGGTACTTTGCACCACAGATGAAAGTAAACTGACTTGACTGGTACTCTTTTCTTAAGGCGCTGAGTAATAAATGGAGGGGTATCTGCAAGCATGTGCAGATCGGCGGTCGAGTAGATTTTGGTCACTGCGGCGTAAAGCCTTCGACTCAGCAGGCCGAAAGCGAGGTCACCCTTAAAGTGAACCGTAAGAAACATATCCTTTTTTGGGAATGTGATAACAGGCTCATTGTGTTCACGGATTGTAGCATGCTTTTTGATAAATGAGGCAGGGTAGTAAGTTGAAAGCAACGTTTCAGATATGCGTTCTTCCTGCACTTCTAGGGTTTCAGGGCTCGGTAATACATGCAGCGAAATTATTTAGAAAATGCGTGTATTGTCCCACCCAATTAGCCTTCCGGAAGACATTACTCTTAAGAGAGCCACCTTCCCGTCTCGTCAGTAGTACGTCTAAGGACGCCAACTGTCCTCGTTCATTTTCTTTGGTGAAACCCAGTGATCGGTGTACACCGTTGTGTTCATAGAGCAAATTGGCGACAACAGCGTTCGAGTCACAGATAACAAACATGTCATCCATATACCTGCAGTAGAAATCCAATGGAGCAATAACAGCTTGAAATAGGACCACGTTTAAGCTTAGCAGGAAATACGTCGGCGAGAAAAGGTCCTAAGAGTGAAATCACAGCAACTCCGTCGATCAGCCAATAACAGACTCCAACAAACAAGGACTGCCTTGTATGTGCATCGCAAGATTAGTTCCCTTAGTACTGGCAATGCAATGCCAACATAAATTCCTTTTTCGGACATATATATATATATATATAGGGTGAGGTTGATGTTGCATTCAGGATGCTTCTTCACCGCAGTTGGGCTAAACCAAGTTAGACTTAATCGATGCCATTTTAATCTGGATAAAGTCGTTCTGTTATATTCGGTTTGTTCAGTTCTGTTACTCTGCTGCATATTTCATGTCAATTAAGCGGAGTTATTTTCCGCCGAATTCCGTGTGGAATGTTTGATATCTCCGGTGTGGCTGCGCTTGATGTGAATGTTGACAAGGTGCCTACCTGTCTAACACCCTCCATCTTGATTACTGGTTCCGAGAGGCTGTGAATCGACGCATGGTCCGCGCGGCCGTGCTAGCTAAAAAAGTGGATCCATCCAGTATGGAACGGACTACGGCCCAGTCACCGCCTTGTGTACGTCTGGTACGCATGATTCTCAACACAGATATACAGAAATGCTGCTGCTGTGCATGTTGAAGGAGTAGGGACCGGCTCCGTTGATGAAACGTAGCCATCATCCACATGCCCTCCGGTCCTATTCCTTCGGGTTTACACTGGATATGGGATGTGTGGTTGGAACTGTGGTTGGTGCAGGGCAAGCCACTCATGGTTCCTCCGTAGGCGCAGACGTCCTGTGGCTGTGCTATGGAGGACAGAGTGACAGGCAAATCGGAACCGGATGCTGACAACTATATTTGCCACGATCTACGGATAAACATGGAGCCATCAAAAACAATGGAAATCAAAGGAAGGCACCGTTGGCATAAAAACATAACACAACCCAGAGAAATCCATGGTTTGGTCAGAATGCAAGATACTATCCGGTTGCCCAGGCCGAGGCAGGACGTTGTCTTAGAGGGCACCACTCCGAGCGTTTGGCCGAATAGACTGCCCGCAAGGCAGCGGAGCGAATTCAGGGAATCGCGGAAGGGTATGTATTCGAAAATAAAGTTGACGGTTTCTAGTAATGGGACGGCGGTAAAAATTGACGAATTGAAAGGTGAGTATCAAGTTACGGTCCACCTCCAAGTCGTTAACTTTCTCAACAAATTCAAATGAGTCTTCCAGAGAATGTATGGATAGCTATTTACGTACTGGTTCCAATAATTCGACAATCCATTTTATGATTGAGTGGAAAGCAGTAGCCGACGTATCAACCTTGGGACGTAAGGAGAGTTGCGGCTTGTGCACTTTGGGTAAATCATAAAGACCGGGGGGAGTTAGGAGCCAATAGAAGTTAGCTGATCAAGTAAAAAATCATTTATCACGTACATCTGTTTCAATCCCTTCAGCAGTTTCGCAATTTTTAGCTCAGCTTCAGCAGTCGCGTCATTCTGAACTGTATCACGCAAGAACTTGCCTGAGTCTTGCAAAATAAGTTAGTTTCGCAATGTACTCGGATCTCTCCATTAAAGCCAATTCCGACCCCTTATCTGGTCTGGAGGGAATAAGATCTGGATTCGATCGTAATGCTTTGATTACCTCTTGATGTTTCTTGGTCAGGACGTTAGATGACCTGTTCTCGCACCGCAGATATTGTTGAGAGATATGCACCAATGTGGTTTTAAAAGATTCCAGGTAGAGGGAAGACGTTAGTGTCAATTCAGCTAGTTGGTGCATTAAGTTTTCAAACCGCATTTCTATGCGAACTTTGCACAAATTGGTTGAGCGAAGCTGAATTTCGGTTCGAGAAATAAGGCTTCAAGTTGCAGTTGACTCATTCTTACACTGGAAATATTGCACACATCTGTTTGGATTTAGTGGTAATTTTGTTGCTGGTTGAGATGTGAGCAAGCTCTTTATGTTGAAAACATCTTTCGTTTTTATGTCACTATCTACTAAGTGTTCTAGGATAGAGCTGTGGATATTTCTGGTGGTACCACGTTGCAATGAGGCGGGACAGTATTCCGCTATCCGCTTTGACAGACGGCTGGTCCTCTGTCCGAGGTACCTCGCACCATAGATGCAAATGAACTGATATAAAAGAAAGGACTCTGGCTGGGCCGGAGTTCTGGCTTTTAGAAAAAGAACGGTTTCGGCATGAATGCGGACTCTGGTGACCGGGTAGGTTGGTCCAGCGCGGAAGTCAATTTCCTACTCAAGAGCCCGAAGTGCAGGTCCCCTTTGAAAGGGATTGAGACGAAAACCTACTTTCCCATCACGGTCAATTTCGCGTCAGACTCAGCCAGAAGCTGGGAATGCTTTTGATGAAGGCAGTTGGGTACCCGTTGCTTTCCAGTGACTTTAGTACGAAGTCGTTTTTCGTTTCCAACATTTTGGGCTGCAAATCCTTGTAGTCTGTTAGTACAGGAGACGTAGCAAGCTTCAATTGCACGCTAGCAGTATGAAACTGTGGATATGCGTGTAATGACATACTCAGGTCCTCGTTTGGAAGACCTTTCCTTTAAGCGATCCGTCCACTCGTTGTCGCATCAAAACATCCAAAAAGACAGCATACCGTCTATCTGAACAGCACAGCTGAATTTCAAAGACGAGTGCGCGTAGATAAATTGATTCAACAGTCACGAAAGATGAACGTATCATCTATGTAGCGTTGATCAATGGATGTGATCAGGTGTCTGATAGGTCCACCAAAACATTGTCTACAAGCAGTGGTCCTAAGAGCGATCCCATCGCAACTCCATCTATGCCCGATGGTTGCATATTGGAGAGCTCATGTTTTAGTTCCGTTGATCCTCCTTAGTAGGGAGTCGTCAGCTCGACTACTCGTCTACACCGATGAGAGTTGGCTCTCCTGTTCAATATCATAGGTGAACTTGACTGCTGAGTGAGCACCATTAAACTCTACCACTATATCTTTTAGACTCATGTCTTTATTGATGATTCAAAAGATATCGTCCACATAGCGATAGTGATGGTCGAAACGATCAAGAAGTGCACCTAAGAGTTCAGTTACTAGTTTGGCAAAAATACCCGCCAGCGATGGTCCGAGTGGAGGCCGCATTGCGAGTCCGTTATTCTGTCGGTAATATGTGAGGTTAGAAAAAGGAATAAGACATTGCAAGTGCATTTCAAAAGCAATTCATTCAGGTTTGAGAAGGGTATATTTGATGACTATTGTTGTTGCGCACGTAGTTACATAGGTACTTGATAGTTCCTGACAGCGGTACATTCGTGAATAATGGGGATACATCAAGTGAGAACATTTTTTTTGTTGGCTTCATCTTTAGTATGCTGCAAGAATGTAAAACTATCACGAACACCAAACTGAGCAATCCGTTTTCTTGTGAATTCCAACATTTCGGCTAAGCAAAGGGCTACAGAATGGTAGGCTGAATTTATCATGGATGATAGATGCCGAAGCACACCTTCTATGAACTTTTGGGAACCCATATATATACGCGAGATAGATGATGTTCCGACTGGCTTCCGACCAGTAAGTAGACAACCAGGTATTAAATCACGGGTAAACTGTTCTTTCAGGCACTTCGACAGGTTTTACGCCGCTTTGTCCTTCTCGCTCAATTTCACACAAACCCTTTTGTCTTGGAGAATCAGATTATTGTTTAACCGCAATGACTTTCATCCATTAGGACTATATTACTGCTTTTATGTGGTCATCGTATTTTCAACTCGCTCAGGGCTGCAAGATATGTACATGTAATCAGGCCACGTAGAGGAGGGGTGGCCAAGCGATGATTTGGTCGAGAGGAATGAAGGCCCTCACTTCTGAACTGGCCTCGGTTGGAGCGTCTCAGCTCCCTGGTTGGGGTCCGAAAGACGATGAACACGTTTGGCTGGATACACTTGTTGGTATGGCTAGGAGCAGACCTCAGTGGAGTTCATGCTGTGAGTTTCTTTGTCCAACCCCATCCCTCTTAGCCTCCCTCCAACCACGATCTCACTATTTAGTCTTATATAATTTTACATTGCATTTTTTGCTGCATAGTAGCCGGCTGGTAGCTTACTAGAGCGATGTCCATCCGTTACCGGTAGCTCAGCTGGCTTGAACCCGTTGCACTTTTGCTCTCCTTTTTTCTTCTATGTATTGCGGCACAGTAGCTGAGGTGCTTCCCACCTCTAGCTAACGTGTATAATGATGATAATGATGAATCAGACCACGTAGGTTTGCCTGATATTTTCGATACTGGTAACAACAATTAACCAACGAGAACTTGAAGCATTCAACAGCGTCAGTTGATAGCGCAACTAAATCTTGTGTTTGTGTTAACGAAGTTACATGTGGGAGCTCGGCACTTAGCTGACGTTCGTTAAGAGACGAGGGACAATACTTCAAGCAGTTCAGGTGAAATGACCAACTTCGAGTGGGCTTGGAACGTGACCTGTGCTTTCAAACAACACATCCACCACCAGAAACCGGTAAAAGAGAACGGAAGGACACACGACACTCATTCGTCGAACAGGTTCAGATGCGACAAATCGCGAAGCGTGTTCAATACTCCGACGTCCGTATCCGTATATAGATAGGGCAGGATAGTCTCCATCACCTAGCAACAAACGTTGGACCACAGGAGTCATCATCATCATACATGTTAGCTAGAGGTGGGGAACACCTCAGCTACTGTGCCGCAATACATAGAACAAAGGAGAAAAAATGCAACTGGTGCAAGCTGGCTGAGCTACCGGTAAGGGACGGGCATCGTTCCGGTAAGCCACTAGCCAGCTGCTGTGCACCAAAAAATTACTATGCAAAATTATAGAACGCTAAATATTGAGATCGTGGTTGAAGAGAGAGGATAAGACGGATGGGGTGGGACAAAGAAACTCACAGCACGAACGCTACTGTGGTCTGCTCCTAGCCATATCAGCAAGTGTGTCCAACCAAACGTGTTCATCGTCTTTCGGACCCCAACCAGGGAGCCGAGACACTCCAACCGAGGCCAGCCCAGAAGACCACAGGAGTAGTCAAGAAATTCTTGCGAAGCTGATACATCCGCCGCCGGTGGCCGAGGGGACAAGTTGTCTGAATTGCAGCCCGGACGACAACGGTTCGAGTATGGGAAGGGCACGGCTTCATTTATTCCTTAAAATCCTCGGAACATAGGGGAAAACTGATGCCGTGCGAAGAAGCCAAGGTCCGAGTTCAAGACCTCGAGATAAGGAGTATTAGCAAATTCGTGTGTCAACGAAGTCAGTGATATTGTGAAATGATAAATACACAGTTAAATGAAGCTTCCAGTTACAAACTCACCGAAATGAACAGTTCTGAGATGTGCGTGTAAAATGCTTTTTTGAGTGAACGATTTGCCACAGCCCCCACATATATAGGATCGTTTTTCTAGATGGAGGAATGGAACGCAGACAAAAAGGTAACCCGCAAGATGAAAAGTGGAGGAGAGCAGTGAAGGGCCAGTTAGAACCTGCATACACACAAGTTGCGATCCTAATGATGTAGAGAAAACATCGCCTGAGTGTAGGAATAGTCTCGCAACACGGATATTTTTTCACCAGCATGAAATGTAGATATCCTCGATCCTATATTTACGTTGAGCGTTCGCAACGGAAAGATTACCACCTCAGATAAGTTTACGCGGATGAGCACAATCATGAGGTAGACGAAGTTGGTTTACGCACGGAAGTGTATAAGACCGGTTCATATTACCGGCCGAATGACAAGGAGAAATTCGCATCACTGTTAAGGTCTAATCAATGGGAAAGACTCTTTGCCGCACGTAATCCGGAAGTATCAGGTGAAACCTTCAATAAAAATGTCAACTAACATCCAGACAACAGAGCTCCCGTAAAGAAAAAGAAACGCTCTGGAAATGAAATAAATAGTATATCAACCAATAATACGAAATGGGAAATAATCGGATAGCTAGTGCTTACAAGAAAACATACTGTGTCAACTACACAATAATTCTAGCAGATTGGAATCGCGACGAACTGAAAACTTACTAGGATAAGCAAATTTACCCAACACCAGCCACATTGCTTCGCGGATCATCGTATCAAATGCCATGGTGAAGTCAATAAACAGCGAGTACAATGGCTGGTATCGCACTCTTTAGTAGCTGACGAGCCGCGAACATCAGATCTATGGTGCTGCGGCCCGAACGGAATCCACATTGCTCCTCCACCACGCTCCCTTCAAGGACCACAGTGACGAGGCGGTTGAACAGGGTTCAGGTGATCACCTTGCCCATACAACTCAGCAACTTGATACTACCATAATTCGTGTAACATTGCTTACCCCCTTCGCCCTTGTACAATGGTAGCACAAAGGCATCCTTCAGCTCAGCCGGCATTTCCACTTCAATCCACACGCGTTGCACCAACTGCTGCAGCGCACTTATCAAGGAGGCTCCACTGTGTTTCAATGTTTCAGGCGGGATCCCGTGGGAACCAGCACACATGCCGTTTCGCAGATGAGCAAGTGCTCTCTGCGCCTCATCCAGTGTCGGTAAGACACGTCTTCATCTATCGTTGTTGCAACGTTTGTAGCACAGCCTAGTCAACCTCTGAACAGTTGTTCAAGGGATAATTAAAGTGCTTTCGCCAGATCAGCATAATGTCTGCAGTCTGTGTGCAGGCAGCGTCTGAAGCAGCATCGAGCAGTGTCCTCAGTGGCTGCAGGATGGGTCAATATATTGCCTTAAAGAAGCTAAACAATTTCTTATGCTGGCGGCGTATGGCGTAGCATTCGATCTGCTCCGCCTTTTCCATTCATCATGCATTCTTGATGCGACGGAGCCCGGGGGCTAATCGTCGTTGAAGTTTGCGAAATGATTCGTTTTTCCGCAGTCAGCAAGGTCTGCCACATGCGCAGCGGACGCTGCTTCTTCTCCGACACCAACGTGCTAATCGTCGCATCGTTGTCATTAAACAAAACACACCGCCAACAGTTTGTGCACCCGATCGCTCCTTCGGCAGCCGCAGTCACCTACAGATTTCGGGCGACAGGTCGCTCACTGCGACTATGAATTCGACATCGCCAAGGCGCGTAGCCATCGCCTCCTCCAACCCTATCTTTAGCTGTTCCGAGGGAAAGGTTATATTTCCGCTGGTTCAAAACAAGTGAGCAATACACCGATTTATGAAAATATATGTACAAGTTGGTCCGCACCAACTTGTGATCAGGGTCACACTCAGCTCCACACTGTAAATGCGTCATGTGCAGCTCACGCATGTCACACTGACGAACGATGATATAGTAGAGTATGTGAGCGTGATAACTCCGTGGGTGCGTCCAAGTTTCTATATCACTCGCACTCAGTGATCGACAGGCTGTGAGCGGCGCACAGCGAGCACAGTCAGTCACCGGTCCCATTGAGTGTCAATAAGACCACACGGATCGATGACGTCTGCCTACACTGCGGCATCACGCTCAACGCGCGCATTTAAATCACACATTAAGAAGAGCCGGTAGCTCCTCGGCACAGACCACACCACGTAAAACTGATTCCTCGTGTCATCAAGATAACATACGGTGCTGATGAAAATGGTAAACTTACCTCTTCGAAGCCGCAGACGGAGAATCATAAGTCGTGTACTGATGTCAGTCGGCACTGCCACCAGCTGGCCATTTAGGCAGTCGGATGGCTGGCCTGCCGGACAACCTTCTCGTGGTACCAGCTGGGTGGTCCGGGATTATCTCGGTCCAGCGAATGGTTCGGCGGCAGTGTTCCAGGAAGTGGTGGGCTTTGGCCTGGCAAGGGTTCTCCTTAGAAAAAGTCACATGGGTCCGGTTAACAAAACTGCGACTTGCGGAATGTGACTAGCCACTACATAAAGTTACTGCCGAATGTTCCAATTTGGTGAAGCATTGTATCCCAGCACCTTGCTGCTAAAATCGTGGGGAAGATTGGGCCCCTGTTTGGCAAATCACCAAACAAAAGGCGTATGAACTGAGCAATCAGTCATCGGCTCCCAATGGGTGCAAGTCCTTGACATCGCTCCGCTTCCTTGCGGGTAGGCTATTGAGCCAAAGGCTCGGCGTGGACCCTCCTAAGACAACCCCTACTTCGGCTTGGGCAACCGCGTAGTATCGTGCCCTCTGTAAAAAGCATGGATTTCGAAATTACTACTACGTCACTTAGTTCTGCTGCTACTCGTGCTTCTCCATCACACGCCAACTTTTCTCTTGTTGATAATCTACAACCCGTTGAATCTACTTCCAATGCTCGTCTCGCTGATATCCAAATCATCCGGCCATTAGCTATCCTTCGAGTCCGTTGTTCATTCCGTCTGACAGCGTCCATGTTCGGACCCTCATCAAGCTTGGACAACAGGCTGGCCTGGCGCGCACTCTAGAGTCTCACGCCATCGATGTTTGTTGCCTTTCAGAGACTCGATTGCAGGATCTCAGCACCATGGTTAAGTCGTCGTTCCCAACTGCTCTTGAGACCACATACTACTCACGTCTGTCTAGTGACATGGAGGCAGTAGCAGCCGGTTTAGCTGGTGTCGGTATCGCATTGAGTGACAAAGCGGAGGCAGCATTACTCGACTGGTTTCCAGTTGACAGCCGGCTGTGTGCGGTTCGGCTTCAAGGCTCATGTGGAATCAACAGATATCGTGAAGAGAGGTGCAAGTTGTTTGTCATTTTGCCTACACTCCAACCGACTGCAGCTGTGCATCGGTTAAGGATGACTTTTATCGTGGTCCCCACAACCTTTTGAACAAGACCGAAAAGTCATATGTCATCGTCCTTGCAGGAGATCTCAATGCACGAGTAGGTCGCCTGCTTCCGTGCGAACGTCACCTTGGTGGCAGTCACGCGCTTGATGAGAGCCGTTTGGACAAGGGTGATAGACTTCTTACGTTATACGAAGAACACCGTCTCTCTCTCTCTCTCAAGTACGAGGCTTAGGCATACCAGAAAACGCGCAGCCACCTGGCGTCCTCCTTCACCAACGTTAGCGTGGTCACAAATAGATTACATTGCAATCAGCTTTAGATGGCGAGGCAGCGACCGGGGTTGTAGATCGATTTCGTCTACCTACCTCGATCCAGATTATGCTTTGGTCTACGAGGACATCTGCATGCGCTTCGGCAGCTCCTCAAAATGAAAGCTTCATACGCTCGACACCCACAAGTTAGCTGATATCCCTACTCGATAAAGTTATCAAGCTTCCTTATCGAAAGTATTCATTGGTGGTCCACCATGAGACATTGAAAATCATTGGAATTTCCTGTGTGAAACGATGCTAACTTCAAGTCATTCAATCTGTAGAAGCACAAGAGTCCCTCTGGATTTCCGTATACTCACTGGAATTGTTTGATCGCCGTGGAGCTATCCAGACCGATCCAAATAGCCGTGCATTGGGTCGAATTCTCAGCCAACAACTTAAACAAAGCCTGCGTGCAGATCTCGAAAATTGGTGGTCCCATTGCGCCTCGGAGTTGGAAACGAAAGTCCTCTCTGGAAACTTCCGCAAGCTCTTCCAGGTCATTCGGGCCAGTGGTCACAGAAGACCTGGGGTCAATGAGGTAAATTGTGAGGTTGACGGAACGTCAATAAGCAACTCACACAGGCGCATTGACCGCTGCGCTGAACAATTCCGCACTCAATTCAGTTGGCCTCCTCCGCCGGCAAGCCTATTGTGTATACCTACTTGCGCGCCTTGGAACGTGTCATTGGAATTGCCCACTGAACTTGAGGTATACCTTGAGCTCCGACACTTGAGCCAGTCAAGCCTGATGGCCCAGACGTACTTTCTCCAGAGCCGTTCAAGTTCAGGGGCGAAGCACTTGTCAATCAGCTAACAGCTCTGTTCTCCAATATCTGGTGTAAAGAAACAGTTCCATCCGCTTTTAGTGAGTCAATTATTATCCCGATCTTCAAGAAACGTGCTCGTACCCTATGTGCTAACTACCGAGAAATCAGTCTGATGTCCGTTGCCACCAAGCTGATAACATCCATTCTACTCCGCAGACTAACCCGATCCGAGAATTGCGCTCCCGTAAAGAATAGGCTGGTTTCTTCCCCAGTCGATGGTGTATAAACCAATTGTTTACGCTCCGCCAACTCCTTGTAACGCGTCATCTTTACCGCCAACCCACTATCGTTGTTTTTCTGGACATTCGAGAGGCTTTCGACTCCGTCGATCGGCCAGATTTCTGGCGTTGCTTACAAAGGAATGGAGTACCCGAAAAGTAGTAGATCGTCCTCCTTCGAGCATTATGTTGCAATGTCTCCGGTGAAGTGAGGACATACGGTAAGCTATCCTTACCTTGTGCCGTCACTAGCAGTTTACGACAGGGTTGCCCCATGTCCCCATTTCTCTTCAAATTTGTGATCGAGGATGTCCTTTTAGACACTCTCGAAGGCTTTCA